TTAGCTAGTTCATCATAGGGTGAATTTTGTCAGTCCCCATTGATGTAAATATCTATCACATCTAACTAGTTAACCTGTTTGGGCTTGTGTTCTTTTATCCTTGTTGTTCATATTGTGTTAAGCATCTGGTCAAAATTAACTTTCTTAGTGAAGACTGAAGCAAATCAAGCATAACCACCGCAATTTGATAGGAGTCATCTGTTATTAGTTCTTCCCACTCAGTAGCAGACCTATACTTTCCTTCATCCTTTCCTTGATCTTAATGTATTTATAGAACCTCTTTTTATTGTCTTTTGTGACCTTTGCGACGTTTAACTCAGGAGTCTCAAACTCCTGGCCTGTGGGCCACCTTGGGCTAGAGCAGTTGTGCTATCTGGTTTGGGAGTGGCAGCAGGCTGGGCTGGAGGTAGAAGCCTGTCTGTTCCCATTCCCACCATCATCCCACTCTCCCCACATTGCACCCCATGCCTGAGGACATGGCTTTGGGGATTACCAGGGGAGAGGGAGGAGCCTGGCATGGCAGCAGCAGTCCCCCTCACGGGAAAGCCAAGTGCATTCATTCCATTTTGCTCCACTCCCCTGTGGGCGTGGGGACAAGGTGCCATGGGTGGACGGGAGGGGGGAGTGGGGGACGGGAGGAGGAGGATGTGGTGATGGCAGGAAGGGGCAGGAATTGGAGAATGGAAATGGACAGTCCTTTCCTGGACTCCCAGGTTGAATTGTGAAACTGCTCTGACTTAGGTTGCCCTGGGAGCTGGGAGTTGAGAGACCCCTGGTGTAATTCATCTTAAGACTTAGGCTTTCTGACTTTGTCCCTACACACTTGTGCTATTCTTTTGTACTCCTTGACAATTTGTCCATGCTTCCACTTTTGGTAGGATTTCCTTCCGACTTTCCAGGTAATTAGAAGAGCTCCTGGTACAGCCATCTTGACCTCTTAATATTCTTCCTGTCTTTTCTTTGTATCTGAGGAATTTTCTGTCATACCTTTAGTATTGTCTCTGAGAAACTGCCAGCTCTCCTGAACATCTTTTCTTTCCAGGGGACTTTACTTACCGGTTCTCAGAGTTTGTGAGAATCTGCTTTTTAATCTAGTCCCTGTTCTGATGCTCTCCTACCTTCCTTTCCTTAAAGCCACAAAGCCTATCCATTCATGATAGCTTTCCACATGAGTTGCCTTCCTCCCTCAGATCTGCAACCAATTCTTCCTAGTTAGTCATAGTCAAGGCTATCTTCATTACTGCAGAATAGTTTTCTCTGACTTTGACTAATACAACCTTGCGCTCCTCACATCCTTTCAGAAGACTGCTGCTGAGATCATTCTCCTATCCAATCCCATCCTTGCCCACTGGTTTGTTTATCACATCAGTCAAACTTTTCTCTTCACTTTCAAGGCCTTTCACTGTCAACCCTCACTTCCAATCAGGCCATGATGCCAGCCTCCATCACCCATTTGTTACAGGCACCATTTTTTTTGTTTGTGTTTGTATAAGACCTAGCAAAATAGGGGCCAGGTCTATGAGTGGGGCTACAGTAACACAAACAATACATAACAACAAAGCGGTGCAACTTTCCCGAGTGGGAGTGTCTACCTGGTGAGTCTTTGGTCTCCATCTGGGGACAGCCAATAAACCAGCCATTCGGTGCCACTGGCAGTGGTGAGTTTTGTGAAGGGGGGGGCTTGTTCACACTGTTGTGTTGCCAGATTCACAAGTCAAGCAAGATGAGTGGAGTTTTCCTTTAACTGCAGCTGCAAGACAGCCTTTTTATTCTTGCTTATCTGGCCAATACATTGCTGTGTGCTCCTCCCTCAGACAAGGGAAAGATGTGAAAGTGGGTCATTGTGATCTCTCTCTTGCAATTGCTTTAGGCACAGCACTTGTGGTTTTATTCGGAGCAGACTGCCCTAAAGAGCTTGCAGTCTAAATGGACAGGCTGACACGAGACAGAAAGCAGAGGCCCTTCGAGTTGACCCAACAGATAGACCCTAGTTCTCCGGACTAGCAATCCAGAGTCCTATCTACTAGACTGCCTCCCCAGAGATGGTTGGACGCACATGGGGGAGAAGTCCGTGAGATACTCATGGTATGTATGCTCTGAGGATAAAGAAGGGCATTCTCCAGCACTGAAATGTCACTTCAAAACTGTATGCGTAATAGTCTCACCTTGTGTGGTGGAGACAGCAGCAACTTCCCAAGGATACTTGCAGATGAACATTTCCCAGTGGGTCATTAGAAGGTGTATCCGTCCAAAACACTCCACAATTCCAACAACAAATAGCTTCAGATGCTCCAAATGCTGCAGCTTTATCACAGTGCAATTTGTAGGCTGGTGTAATAAAACATGGCTGAATACAAAGGAGGTCTGCTGCATCTGTTCATCTCTCTCAGCACATGGGGCCTAGTAGGAATGTTTGATGGATAGATAGAAAGATAACACACATGTTCATGTTTGGGATGGGGGATTGATTTCTTTTAGGCACAAATAGCCGGGGTAAGACCCAGTTGCATGACATTATTTATGGAACATGGCATACACATCTAACCCTCGCCAGCTGCCCCATCTGTGTGTGGAGATTCACTAGCTAAGCCAATGAAATGGAGCACAATGAGCAGCAAAGCACTATGGGATTATTGTTTGGACCAGGAGAAAGGACAGCTCTGTGCTAATGAACCTGTGCCTCCATGTAGATCTTTGGATTCAAGGCACCTATTTTACAGGATAAAATGAACAGAAAAAGAGCTCAGTGCAAATCATGCCACCCCCAGAAATTCTCTCCTTGAATAAAAACTAGGGATATCAATGGTTAACTGGTTAGTATCAAGGGGGATGCTTATCAGTTGCTGGTTAACTGGTGGCACAGCTGGGCTGGAGCAGTCCCTTGCCCAGTGTAAGCTGAGGGCTGTTCCAGCCTTCTGGGCCCACTGTACAGCAAGCAGGAGGCACTGTAGCCCAGCTGGCCTGCCACATTGAGTTTAACCGGTTAACTGATTAAATGGGATTTTACATCCCTAATAAAAAGACTTGGCCTATGTCTGAGCTTTTTAATAAAGTGCCTCTGTATAACTCCAATTACAAATACTCCATGCTGGCTCTGAGATCCATGCTCTCCTGGGTGAACTTGACAGGGGACCAGCATGTACACACCATCTCACCCCCATATTATGCTATCTATACAGCACTGTATTAAACTTTATATGAAGCAATAAGAACTTTACTGCTCCTCCCAGTGTCTACTGCTCCTTCTCTTTACCGTTCCATGTTCGTGTACCGTTCCATCTTTTTCTCTTTTGCTACTAACCGCAGTAGGGGCTTTAATAGAGAGCCCCTACACTATCATGATCCTCCAGCGCTTACTGTATACGATGAGCTCTGATTCAGGAGAAAGGCCAGTCAGGCATTTCATCCATCTCTACTGAGGGGCCCTTCCAGAACAGGGCGAAGAATCTGCCTGTCTGTTGTACACACTTGTTGGTCTCTTGTCTTATACCTCGATGATAAGCAATTTGAGGCAGGTAGTGCATTTTTTTTTCTTTGCACAGCAAACAGCATAAAGGATTCTTGGTCTATGACCTGGACTCTTAGGGTATGTCTAGACTACATGGCTCTGTCGCCAGAGCCATGTAGATTAGTTTACTAGACATACCCAAATGAAGCGGTGATTTAAATAATCGCCGCTTCATTTAAATTAAAATGGCTGCCGCGCTGAGCCGATCAGCTGTTTGTCGGCTCAGTGTGCTAGTCTGGATGCTCTGCGGTTGACATCAAAGGCATTTGTCGACTGCCCCGTTATGCCTCGTGGGATGAGGTTTACCGGGGCGGTCGACAAATGCCTTTGATGTTGACCGCGGAAGGTCCAGACTAGCGCGCTGAGTTGACAAACTGCTGATTGGCTCAGCGCAGCAGCCATTTTAATTTAAAGGAAGCAGCGATTATTTAAATCACCGTTTCATTTGGGTATGTTTAGTAAACTAATCCACATGGCTCTGTCGCCAGAGCCATGTAGTCTAGACATACCCATAGGTGCTAGAACAATACAAGTAATGTATCATTTTCTAGCTTGCATTTCTCCCTTTCCATAGTGATTCCACTCTCACAATCCCCATGTTTTGCATCTAACCTCCATTCCACGCCCTCTCTCGGTTCCAGGATGTTGACTGCTGGACTTATCATGGAGGATGGATAGCCAAGGATACAACCACATGTTCCAGGTGTCCCTAAACCTCTGATTGCCAAAAGTTGAGACTGGACAACAAGTAACTGCCAGTTCTGTTCATCCTTTCTGAAGCATCTGGCACTGGCCACTTTGGAAGACAGCACAGTGGACTAGATGGACATTGGCCTGACCAGTATGGCCGTTCTCACTTTCTGATCAGCAGAAACTGTCAGCAGCTCTTTGTATGGGCTTGACAGTCATCCCAAAAAGCTCTCCCCAGAAGAGCAGCTCCTCCGCCCCCAGCTAAGAAATACAGATTGAAATGATGTGATGGCTATTATGGACTCAATGGAGCAAAGAAAGTGATAAGTGAAGAAGCCGCACTGACAATGTGTAAAAACCTTCATGGGGGAGGGGAAGAGATCCTTTAGCTCCCCAATGAGAACAGGCAGCAAACATAAGAACTGGGTACCAAGTGTTATTTGCTGTCATGTTCTGAAGGGGATGCAACACCCTTTCCAAAATAACTCTGCATTGTAGCCCCCTCGCTGGGTAGCCCAACATCACAGACTAAACTTCCAGGTTAGCCAGCTGGTTAGCAGCACAAAGCACACACCAACCACAGACAGGGTCACAATTCTGCTTGAAACCAGTCAAGCAATTTTTTATTTAAAAAACAAAGCAAGAAAATCCCCCCCCCCCCAATACCAAACAACCCTAATGGTGAAAGCATAGATATGGCATTTACATAGGCCATATCTACCTTCCTCAGGCACCCCCACCCTCCCACAGAAATGCAGAGATGTATACATGTTTACATAATATAAGGAGACAAACAGTCTTCTATGGTTTGCAGTTGAGGCCTCCAGCCTGTCTGCGATATGCTGAGCTGAAGGGCTGCAAAGCCGGGTTTGTTATACACAAAATATGGTATTGTTCACCTATGCAGCAAATGCTAATTGCTGGGGATTCCATGGAAGGCAGGTACTTTGTAACAATGGGGGAGCTTAATATGAAGGTACCAGAGAAACTCTGCCCTTCTCTGGTGCCTTCTGGCTTAGGTTTTCAAAGCTCTTTGCAAGCATTAGCGAACTGAGACTCCCAATCCCCCAGCATGGTAGTTCAGTTGAATTATCTTCATTTTATAGACAGGTAAACAAGGCACAGAGGTGACATGCCCTCTCTGTGATGAGTTTCAGTAGCACAGACAGGGAGAGGACCAGAAGGTTGTTCCCTGGCTCTGAGCACTAACCCATACTGTTTGTGTAAGGAGTTTTGTTGGGAGATCCAGATAAAGGGAGAGTGTTAAGAAGTCCTCAGTCTCTTCCACACTGGGATCCTCTTTGCCAATCTGAGGCTTTCTGATTTCAAACCTGACAAGGACAGGGCAGTGCCATACCTGCTCTGGGAAATGCTAGGTGGTAGGAGCATCAGATGATTATTGTGTTCTCTAAGCCAGCTAGTTTACAGGGCTTGTAAATGTTACCACCACTTGTACAGTGAGTAAGTATTTGTGGTTACTGCACAGGCATCATATAGCTATGGGTTAGTTATGAGGATCTGTGGTTACTACACAAGCATCACAGAGCTATGGGTTAGTTACCCATAACTAACTTATAGCTATATGATGCCTATACCATAACCACAGATCAATCCTGTAATTATCACTGTAGTTGGTCCAATGTATTTGAGTCCTACAATATGAAGCATTTGTTAATACTCTCAGTCTCAGCATTCAGTCTAGGTGAAAAAATAAACCTAACTGGGCATAAAATAATGGAAATGACATTGTCTCACTGAAACAGAACAAAGAACAATCAAGTCTAAGGCTACGTCTCGACTGCAGAGTTCTTTCAGAAGAAGCTTTTCCAGAAGTGATCTTCTGAAGAAACTTCTACTGAAAGAGAACGTCCACACTACCAAAGCACATAGAAAAAGCTATCTGCTTTTTCAAAAGACAGTGTCTACACTGAATGGATACTATCTCACATTTAAACTGCAATTACTATGGATGGAGTGGCCACCAGGGCACCTGTGCTTTTTCCTCTTCTTCCGAAAGAACTCCCTCTTCCCCATCCACACACGCCTTTTCCCGAAAGAGCTCCTTCAGAAAAAAGTTTCTTCCTCATAGAAAGAGGATTACCAACACCGGAAAAAAAAACCCTCCGTTCTTTCGATTTTCTTTCAAGTGTGGACATAATTGAAGTTTTTCCAGAAAAATGAGAATTTTTCCGAAAAAACCCTCTGTAGTGTAGACATACCCTAAGAGTGAGAGGGAGAGATGAAATACCCATAGGGAAAACATGCATAGTTTCTATATTCACTTGTTCAAGTACAAATCCACCTGAACCCTGTAGATATGTATTCAGCATGGTAAGCCATGCCATGGCTGCCGCTGCCCACCATGACTGCACTATTTGCAATAGCTCTCATCAAGCTTGTGTGAGTAAGTGGATGTGAACTGGGAACCACACTCTTAGCTGACAGCAGCCAAAGATAATGGAAAGTGAAGGGACACAATTCTGTCTAGCCCTTCACAACTCAAAGACGACCTGAACAAGGTTTTATTGCTGCACAGCCCACTCTTCACCCATAATCAGTCACATCCACATCGACACAGAGGAGTTTTAACTAAGCAGAGGGATGCGAGGGAGCAGTGTTGTAGTGTTACATTGCTACCTGATTCTGCTGGGGTGGGGCGGTGTAACCAAATCACAAATATTGCACAAGTCACCTTGCATTGCTGGTTCCTTTCATAAAGTATTTACCACATGGCACCAAAAGCAATGAGATTATTAATAACCACATGACCCACAATCTGCAATCTTATAAAGCAGGGGCAGAGAGAGCTAACTGAATAGTTGTCCAGGAGATGGGACTGTGCACATGGGGAAAAAAAAACCCCGATGTGACTGTCATGCTGCATAATAAGGTTGCCGGTGTCTGCTTCTGTTGGACTGTGCTGTAGATGGAATGCTCCACGGGGTCCAACAAAGGAAGCTGTATCGGTGGAGTCACCTCTGCCAAGCTTACTGCTACTGTTCGAGGGTGGGTGTGGCATGGAATTCTGGCATGGCCAGTGGTACTCCTCAGGAGTAGGAGTTAAAACTCTTGTAGTATTGAAGGCACTGCCTTGAATCCACAGCAAGTTGAGTACAAAAGGAAAGAAGGGGATAGGAAGGAGTTACAGCCAGTCAGATGGAATCTACTTTCCTTCTAAAATCAGCAACAATGCAAGCTAATGGGGTTAGGCCAGGCAGGTAGGAGGGTGAACATGTCAACACATACTTTATTTTAAGTGAAACCTGCAAGCACACTGACATAGGCACAGACGGAGGAAGGGGGGAAGAATAACAGATGACAGTGGTCATCATTTCATTGAGAGTTTAACAGGCCCCGCATGGTTAGGGAAGGAGATCTCTTTAAATGGGAAGCAAGGTATCAACAAAAGGCACTATATTCTGCCACTCCAAAGGAAAGCAAAACAAGAGAGAGCCAAGCCCAAGAGAAACAGAAACACCTGAGTATCAGAAAAGCCACATCTGACCCCCATTCTTTTCCATCTCCAGAGAAAAAGCTCAGAATCCAGATTGTACCAGATATCAGCACCTTTTATAGTACAGCCATCTTCTAGCTGCTGATTGCCGTCCCTGAGGTCTCACGGGAACAAGAGTTAAGGATCCATTTCCTTGGGCAGTTCTGAATGAAATGCTGAAGTGCAGCCTGTGTTGGGAATTCCAGGATCATTTGAGTTCTCTTTGCCAAGCCCACTGTGGAACATGCTGCTTAGTTCTCTCCAGCCACTTGAATGCAATGTGACATTGCTTGCCTGAATCACCGTCAGGCACAAGTCTGAGCAGGACCAGCGTTCCCTCTGAGCTGCACGGCAGCACAGCTTCACAGGTGACCAATCAGCCTCACCCAGTCACGGAGCTGTGCTGCCACGCAGCTTAGAGGGAACGCTGAGCAGGACCCTGGCCTAGCACAGAGGATCCTCCATTCCATGAGTGTATCTTTTTTTTAAAATGTAAATGATATTTAAATGAACACCCATCATTGTAGAGGAGATAACAAGAGGTAAAAGGACTGCGTTTGATGGTGCAAGCAAGCAATGTACAAACCGAACTAGACAGTAACACATTCCCTCATGGCCATGCATCAATGTACACAGCTAAATAGACCTGATTTTGCATGACTGTCTGTCCTTGTCCCCATGGCTTCCTATGGCTCCTGTGTATGGCTGGACTTGGTAATAAGTTTTGGACATTTGACAGTGACCCTGAGCCACTGGGAAAAGCAACTCCTTTTGTTATTCCAGATTCCACTTCGCTTCTTTACCTGGATAATGGCTGAATTTCCTTGGTTTCCCCGTAGACTCTTCAAAAAGCCTAGTGGGCATCAGCAATTTTTCTAAGATGGGAAGGAAATTGCATTTGCCAACATACACCGGGATCTTGTTGAGAAACAACTTCACAGTCCACCACCAGGAGCTGGTTTACCATAGATGGACAAAGGAGGAAAGTATTTCTTGTGAATGGGTAGGGGAACAGACAGAGCAGGAGTGAAGGCCTTGCTGCATTATGTCAAGCCTGCTTCTTGAATTCTGCCTCAGGAATGACACAAATTGGAATGTACAGTATCCCACATATTTTTAAGCCAGCATTATGGAAAACTATAAATTAATAGGCTAATTAAATACTCAGATGAAAGAACAGGAACCTTCAACTGTGTAAACTGAGGGCAGACTATGGCTTCTTTCTTAGATAATTGGAGGGAATCCAGCCCTCCCAACAAGATCCCCCAGTTAGAACCTTGCAAAACCACCAGCCACTGCTGTTCTTCTCACGAACTTCAAATAAGGTCCCTTCTTTAAAGCTGCTAGTCTCTTCATCTCCTTCGAAATCTGCCACAGCCACATAGAGGGCTTCTTTGGAGATATCCGGATTGGTGAAGGGAGCAGCTGTCCTCTCCCTGGCTTCCCCTCTCTCCACCTGCTTGGCCATTACCTTTAGACCTAAGCTGCTTTTCCCTTTGGCTTCGTCTTGGCACACGGCAGGCAGAAATGGTTTGGCCTTTGGTGGAACCAGCATGGGCCGGCCAGGCACCGAGGCAGCTCTGATTTCAGGCACTTCCCTCTGTGGGGCTTTCAGCTCTGAAGTGGGGCCAGAGGAGGAAGATATCACTTTCTTTGGTGGAGGAGGTCTTCTGGGTGGTACCACTGGCCGTTGAAGTGCTGGCTCTCTGAGAGGTGGGGAGCCACTCTTGGGTTCGCTCTCGGCCATCTTTGGAGGGCCAAAGGGAGCTTTGGGTGCAGTCTCCTTTGGGATCTGGCTGTCCTGTTTGGCTGGGGATCTGTTCTCCATGCTCAGTCGCTCCTGAGGCCTGCCAGAAGCCTCTCCTGGGAGCACATTATTACTGAAGACATTTTCACTAGCCATAGCGTCCTGCTCAGGGGGTTTCTCTTGAGACTTTGCAGGTCTGAGTTTGCTTCTTAGATTACATATGTCCAGTTTATCATCTGCCTGAGGTGGGTCCGTCTTGGGGGCTGCAGCTGGTTTCGGCCTGATGTAAGGTTTTGATTTCAAGAAGGGATTCTGGGCCATTGGCTCAGACTTGTCTTCTGGGGGCTCAATTTTTGGCTTGGCTGGCTTGACAGTAGGCCGCAGGTTTGGTTTCTTCACTTCCTTGGCTGACACCTTGTGCCCACACTCCAAGCCCATTTCGTTTTTCAGCTGGAACAATTTGCCCTTTTCTGTTTTCAGCTCTGGCTTCTTGTTGTCCCTAGGGGTGGCTGTCTGCTTTGGAGGGATCATTGGCAAAATCATGCCTGGGGGCTTGGGTGGAGGCCTCTGCCTCTCCATTAACTCACCTTCGGATTTAATGATTGATTCTTTCCTGGGGGGAAGGCTGGGCTTCTCCTCTGTATCCTGATCAGAGATCTCCTCATACCCAGCGGCTACATCATTGCTCTCTGCGGGAGCACTCTTAATAGCCTCCTTCCCCTTCCAGTCTTTGGCCCATTTCATTCCACAGTCCATACCATTAGGTGGAGCTTCAGGCAGAGGCCTGGATGGCCCAGTGGCTTCTTCGCTGGTTTTGCTCTCTGCAGTTATCTCACCAAGCGGGACCTGGGCCATCTCATTAGGCAACGGTGCTAGAAAGTTAGGCCTAGAAGCATTGCTAGTTTTTTTATATTTATCGATAAAGGTTGCTGGGGCCCAGCCTTCCTTCTCCTCAATCTGAATGTACCACCAGCCACTCAGGTTTTTCTCGATCACCTAGAAGAAGAAACACAACCATCACAGATTTGGAAATACTTAGCCAGGCCTCTCTGCACAGCAGCTGCCTATGAACCAAAGGGCTAAAAAAGTGTAGCCTAGAAATGGAAGGTCACACTTCAGACCAAGAACATGTAAAAGAGGCTGCAGGTATCATGGATAATAATAATACAGATAATAGCAATACCTAGCTCTTCTGTTGCACTTTTGATCTCAAAGCACTTTATAAGAGAAAGAATGACCATTATCCTAATTTTACAGGTGGGGAAACTGAGGCATAGAAAGGTGATGAGAGATGATTCAAGTTCATTTAGCAGGGCAGTGGCAGAGCCAGGAACAGAATTCAGGCCTCCAGTACAGGTCCTGCCGGTACTAGGTAACACCATTCTCACTTCCACAAGGCCAGTATCAAACCGTGATTTAGTCAGAGGGGGAGTTTGATGGGTTTTTAGTTTTTACTTGTGCATATTGGGCCACCTCAGAAGATTCTGCACAGTTGCAGATGAGTGGCACTACAAGAGCAGGCATTAGCAGAGGTGAGGATAGGGAGCACTTGGTCTGGATTAAGATGCGGTTTGTTATTTCAAACCTCTGTCCCTCTCACTACAGAGGATGTTTCAGGTCAGAAGAGTGGTAATTGGCAGAGTCGTGGGGCTGAAATAGCAGAAGGGCTGAAGGTCAAGACAGAAGTGTACTGGCATATGCGCGTGGGAGCAATCTGTCTCAATGCCTACACTCTGCTTAGCTCTAGCTGGTTCTGGCCCACATTTTCACACCCACATGCACATTTGGACATACAGGCTTCTCTATATTCTCAGTGTTCGTGAGCACTAAATTCACAGTATTTTTCAAAAGAAAAAACATCTCAAGCTCTCCAGCACATGAGGGAAGAGGAGACAAGGACAGTCTGAGATTTTTCAAGACTTCGGGGTGGGCGGGAGGAGGAAGAGACACATAATGCATCTGGCCACTGGGTGACACTATTGAGCTATCCACCAAGACACAGATCACCAAAATCCCCAGCCACTGAAGGCACTGGAAGTTAAGATTGTCCTGTGTCTACACTAGAAACAGGTTGCCAGTTTGGCTACTCCAGCAAACCGCCCAAGTGCAGATGCAGCTTTTATATTGGCAAGAGATTCCTTTTGCTGGGACATCCTATACCAGGGCTCTTTTGCCAGTGTAACAGCATCTCTGCTAGAGCTTCTGGCAGCACAGCTACATGTGTGTGTGTTTCTTCTAATTCCTAACAGACACAGGTAGGCTGGCAAAACTTTTAAGTGTAGACCAGACCTGCTAAACAAAAGTCCCATCTCTGAAAAGAGAAGGAACCTGCCGCTATCAGTCAAGAAGCTTCCAACTCCCACTAGAGCAGGTGCACAGCATCCTGGCATGGGCCACACAAGTCCATAGGGCATTTGAGGATCAGAGGTTCCAAAACATGAGCATGTGGAAAATCTCTTCCCACAGCAGCACGTGGCCTGGAACAGAATTAAACCTCCCCCCCCCAGTGCACAGATAGGCCTTCCACTAGGATTCAGACTCTTCCCGGGACAGCTGATAGTGCCACTGACTGGCAATGGACTCCAGGTCTGAAACCCGACTCTTAGGATTTGGGAGGAGTGCCGCACCCCCTGCCCCCGCCGAGCTGGAATCCACACATCCATCCCGGGAAAATCTTAATGGGGGTTGAAGAAAGTCACCTGAGTGGGTGACTTGGAGGTGAAGCGAGAGGGAGGGAGAGAAGGAAGAAGGAAAGATGGGGTGTGGTCTCACCTCTACTTTCATTCCTGCCTGGAAGCTGATGCCGTCGGGAATGGTGGTCTGGAAGTCAGCAATGGTGTAATATTCTTCTTCCACTTGGGGAGGGACAGGAGGTTTAGGCAGGTTCAATCCACGTGGCTATTGCAATAAAAACAGACAATCATTCAGCTTTTCTCAGGAAGACCCATTAGCATACTTGCACGGATGGCTCACATTGGCTAACTAGCCAAAGAGACGCCAGCTACCAAACAGACCACAGGATGAACCACTTGGCACACAGAGCACCCTCGCAGATACAGACACTAACCCCATCTTCAGACTGAATCCAAAGTAATCCAGATTGCTTTCAATGGCACAGCTGACATGGTTACTAGTCCTGTAGTCTCTATGAACCGCTGGCTGCTGGGCCATGGTGGCTCTGGTGTCTGGGGCTGGGGTGCACTGCCCAGAGCCTCGCCTCCCATCATGGCTGTTGGCAGGGGTGTGTCCTGCTCTGCCTCTCAGCCAACCAGTGCTGGGAAGGGGCAGGATCTCCTCCTAGATGTGGAAGAGCTGTTTGCTGTGCAGCAGGAGGGCCACGCAGACCCCAGGCAGCAGCACTCAGCTGGCGGGCAGGGGAGAGGTAGGTGAGGGGGGCAGGGCAGGCACTGGGGGCTCTGGGGCAGGGCTAGTGCTGGAGGACTCTGGGGGCAGAGAGCTCTAAGAGGCAGAGGGCTGTTACTGGGGGGGCTCTGGGGACGGGACTAATATTGAGGACTGGGGGCAGGCTCTGAAGCAGTTGGGTGCAGTGGAACTCTGTTTATAGGAGGCTGGGGTCTGGGGGTTGGGTGCAGTGGGGCTCTAGAAACAGAAGGCTGGCACTGGGGCACTATACGGGGTGGGGTGCTGGCACTGAGGCATTTGGCACTGGGGACTGAGGGTGGACAGCTGGCACTGGGCGGGGGTTGAGTGCAAGGGGACTCTGGGGTCAGACGCTGGCGCTGGGGGATAGTGGAAAGGTGGGGGCTCTAGGGATTAGGACTGGTGGCTGATGGGTGGTTCTGGGAGCAGGGGCTTTTGGTGGACTAGTAACATTTTATGTGTATATTTGCATATTCATTATTTGCATAGTGAATATGCAAATAACATGTTACCAGCCCACCAAAAGTTTGTGAATGGGTTTGCCAGTCTGTGGTATAATAAAGGTTGGGAGCACTGCTGTAGGCTTACCAGCCCCTGAGTAAGGGAACAGTTTATTCAATCCAGCCATCCCCTTGACTTAAAAACAAAGCCACTAAGTTTTGCTTTGAGAACAAATTGGACCAGATGAGTAACATGGCGGCCTGGAGGCCCTGCCCCTGCACTAGATCCATCTGAATGCAACAGAGCAGTTGCCTTCTGCCCCAGAAGCTTTGTTCTCCTGGGGGGGAAGGCGGGGACAACCTTCTCTGGCAGAGGGAGTTTTTCCCTGGAGAGGTGGCAGGTGGCAAGTGGGACAGCTGGTCCAGGAGGGCACTTACTATAGTGAGATCTCGGCGAGGAGGGGGCCTCTGCCTCATCTTTGGCGACTCTGTGGAAACACAATTTCAGATTCCACTGAGGTTCAAGGAGCAGTGTCCAGACACGTTCCCAAAAAGACACATTTCGGAGAACAGCAGTGAACCCCACATGCAAACCCAGCCATGAGGGCCATCTTCTGTCCTTCCCTCCCCACAGCTGTGCTGCCGCCTAGCTCCTCGTTTCTCCTACAGCACAGTGACTCAGACAGTGTCATATCTGCTCAGGAACTACAGGCACCTCAAGCTTTTCCAGGCCAACCAGCCCTCTGCAGAGATGCCAGTAGAGCCCAGCCAGGAGCAGAAGCCACAGTGCACCAGTGGGCATGCATGGGAAGACAGAAGCTGAGCAGCATGCTAGTGCCACTGTCTTACCCATCTAACAGCCTGCACTCAAACCCAGGTTCAGTGACTAGCCTGCAGAGATAACCCAGCAGCACACACCCACAGCTGCCCAGGGGGAGGAGATGTGCATTCATGAGAAAAGAGAACGGGAAGACTCACTGGAGGGAGAACAGGGCCCATGTCTGCCTCTGCTCCAGTAGAGAGAGCTAAGGATGGAGCAGGAAGCTATACAGAATGGTCCACACTGGCTCCCGGGCTCCAGGAAGGGCCTTTTTCTTAACACAGTAATGTCCAGATGTTGTGGCAAAGCGCCAACTGCCTAGGAGCCCTTGAAAGGGCAGTCAGCTTCCTCCCCTGCTCGGCTGCACTGCTCAGCCACACAGCCAGGCTCAAGGAGCTGCACCAAACACCCAAACTTTAGCATCCCCCCACTTACTGCGTCGAATGTCGGCCTGTGGTAATGGTCGGCCATCAAACCTCCCCTCTCTTTGGTTGTTGGGCCCGTCCTTCTCTCGGCCTGTTGAATTCTGCTGCCGGGGAACACCATCCAGATCCAGGGAACACGAGTGGGTGGAGGAGCCAGATCCCAGTTTCTGTGTAAACATCTCTCCACTTCCTTTCTTTAGGTAGGAAGCCGGGGCCCAGCCCTCTTTTTGGCACTGGGGACTGAGGGTGGACAGCTGGCACTGGGCGGGGGTTGAGTGCAAGGGGACTCTGGGGTCAGACGCTGGCGCTGGGGGATAGTGGAAAGGTGGGGGCTCTAGGGATTAGGACTGGTGGCTGATGGGTGGTTCTGGGAGCAGGGGCTTTTGGTGGACTAGTAACATTTTATGTGTATATTTGCATATTCATTATTTGCATAGTGAATATGCAAATAACATGTTACCAGCCCACCAAAAGTTTGTGAATGGGTTTGCCAGTCTGTGGTATAATAAAGGTTGGGAGCACTGCTGTAGGCTTACCAGCCCCTGAGTAAGGGAACAGTTTATTCAATCCAGCCATCCCCTTGACTTAAAAACAAAGCCACTAAGTTTTGCTTTGAGAACAAATTGGACCAGATGAGTAACATGGCGGCCTGGAGGCCCTGCCCCTGCACTAGATCCATCTGAATGCAACAGAGCAGTTGCCTTCTGCCCCAGAAGCTTTGTTCTCCTGGGGGGGAAGGCGGGGACAACCTTCTCTGGCAGAGGGAGTTTTTCCCTGGAGAGGTGGCAGGTGGCAAGTGGGACAGCTGGTCCAGGAGGGCACTTACTATAGTGAGATCTCGGCGAGGAGGGGGCCTCTGCCTCATCTTTGGCGACTCTGTGGAAACACAATTTCAGATTCCACTGAGGTTCAAGGAGCAGTGTCCAGACACGTTCCCAAAAAGACACATTTCGGAGAACAGCAGTGAACCCCACATGCAAACCCAGCCATGAGGGCCATCTTCTGTCCTTCCCTCCCCACAGCTGTGCTGCCGCCTAGCTCCTCGTTTCTCCTACAGCACAGTGACTCAGACAGTGTCATATCTGCTCAGGAACTACAGGCACCTCAAGCTTTTCCAGGCCAACCAGCCCTCTGCAGAGATGCCAGTAGAGCCCAGCCAGGAGCAGAAGCCACAGTGCACCAGTGGGCATGCATGGGAAGACAGAAGCTGAGCAGCATGCTAGTGCCACTGTCTTACCCATCTAACAGCCTGCACTCAAACCCAGGTTCAGTGACTAGCCTGCAGAGATAACCCAGCAGCACACACCCACAGCTGCCCAGGGGGAGGAGATGTGCATTCATGAGAAAAGAGAACGGGAAGACTCACTGGAGGGAGAACAGGGCCCATGTCTGCCTCTGCTCCAGTAGAGAGAGCTAAGGATGGAGCAGGAAGCTATACAGAATGGTCCACACTGGCTCCCGGGCTCCAGGAAGGGCCTTTTTCTTAACACAGTAATGTCCAGATGTTGTGGCAAAGCGCCAACTGCCTAGGAGCCCTTGAAAGGGCAGTCAGCTTCCTCCCCTGCTCGGCTGCACTGCTCAGCCACACAGCCAGGCTCAAGGAGCTGCACCAAACACCCAAACTTTAGCATCCCCCCACTTACTGCGTCGAATGTCGGCCTGTGGTAATGGTCGGCCATCAAACCTCCCCTCTCTTTGGTTGTTGGGCCCGTCCTTCTCTCGGCCTGTTGAATTCTGCTGCCGGGGAACACCATCCAGATCCAGGGAACACGAGTGGGTGGAGGAGCCAGATCCCAGTTTCTGTGTAAACATCTCTCCACTTCCTTTCTTTAGGTAGGAAGCCGGGGCCCAGCCCTCTTGCCCCTGATACCTGCAAACAACAAGATCTTCCCTTCAGCCCCATCACATGGGACTCATGCCTCTCTTACTTTGGCCCTCACTACCATGCGCCAGAGCCAACCCACAGTAGGACCAGCTGTGTTGGGTGGGGGAAAGGCTGGGCCAGGGGATTGGTGTGGCACCATAGAGATATACAGTGGTGGCCAGCAGATCTGGTAGGTGCTGAAAAAGGCCCATCCTCACAGGTGTCTGTGTGAAACCAGGTGTCTGTGTGAAACCATAGAGTCCTAGGGCTGGAAGAGACTACAGCCCTGCCAAGGTCCCAGGCCACAGCACAGCTCAGGTACAGTTAAAACACATCTGCAAAGGTGCGCTGTGTTTTAAATGTGTTGGGGGAAGCAGTGACACCAACGGAATATCTCAACAGCATAGGGAAGACCCGTATCAGTCCCTTAATGTTGTTGTGTACATCATACTGTAACTTGAGACCATTGCTCCTCATTCTGTCATCTCTGAGAACAGCCTTTCTCCATCCTCTTTGAAGCCCCCCTTCAGGAAGTTAAAGGCAGCTATCAAATCCCCCCTCACTCTTCTCTTCTGCAGACTAAACAAGCTCAAATCCCTCAGCCTCTCCTCATAAGTCATGTGCTCCAGTCCCCTGTGCATTCTTGTTGCCCTCAGCTGGACTCTTCAATTTGTCCACATCCTTTCTGTTACGAGGCGGGAAGGAGGCAGAACTGGACACAATTCTCCAGATATGGCCTTACCAGTGCAGAATAAAGTGGAATAATCACTTCTCTAGATCTCCTGGCAATGCTCCTCTTAATGCACCCCACTATGGCGTTAGCCTTCTTGGCTACAAGGGCACACTGCTGACTCATATCCAGAAATGAGCCTCTTTGGTTCCAGTCTGTTTCCAGGGACCAGAAAGTGCCACTACTTGCTGGCTTCCCTTTGCTGGCAGCCTCAGCATAGGGATCTGGGACCAAGTGAGGCAATGAAATCTCCTCTCCTCTCTCCCCTTCAGGGATTGCTCAGATGAGGAGTGAGGCAGAGTGGTTGGGCAGCGTAGGGGGAAACCGAACAGCTGCTGCAGCCCATTACGGATCACTCTTTGGATTAAAATAAAGGCAATCAGTGTGCAGGTCTCTCTGCCTGGCTCCTTTCCTTGCACTAATTCACTTGGTGGAGAACCCAACCCTATGCTCTGATTGAAAAACCACTTCCACAGAGTGCCTCTGCCATGCACCAGGGTCCCATGCCAAGCTTAGGAGACCTCTGCCCGCTGCCTGGAGAGTGAAGTCACTGGGCTCAGATGGCACCAGCTGCTGAGCTTGTAATTGACTTGGGCTTTTCACAGCAGCTTTTTCCAGTTTAAGAAGTCAACATGCATTTTTTTCGGATGAGCTGCTGCCAACGCTACAGGTTCAGTGCAAGGTTAAGAAAATCAAGGCGTCTCCCACCCAAGTTTGCACATGCCCTTTGCTAGCCTGCAAATACTCACTCTGCCTCCAAGCTTTAGTTCTTAATGCTCAGAGATTTTTGGTCTGTGAAACAGGCTGAGGCCAGGGAGTCTGGCCTGGATAACAACACATTTCAAGAGTAGCCTCATAATACAGTTGGAGGATCTAGTCTGCATAGGAGGCCTTCCTACAGGACATATGTATAACCCCTAGGATTTCCATGACAATGATGTATGCAACAACATTAAGGGACTGATATGGGTCTTCCCTATGCTGTTTAGATATTCCTTTGGTGTCACTGCTTCCCCCAACACATTTAAAACACAGCACACCTTTGCAGATGTGTTTTAACTGTACCTGAGCTGTGCTGTGGCCTGGGACCTTAGCAGGGCTGTAGTGTTCTGGGAATGAGGTAAGACCAAGGTTCAGTCCTGTCTTTACTGCAACAGCAAGCCATGTTTATTTGGGTCATATAAGAACTTAGTTAGATACATTAGACAGAAAAGTCTGGTGAGAAAACAGACCTGTGTCAGAATCCATCATGTACTAAGGTCATCTGAAGTACAAAATAGCATCTGCAGTGTGGACTGGGCCCTTAACCACCACCCTTTCCTCCACACCCAAAATCGCCTCAGGTAGAACAAGCCTGTTACATGGGCATCTCTTCCTGCTTGGCCTACAGTTAGTGCCTTTGCCATTTTAGCAGTAGTAATAATGCTGTGCATGTACCTGACACTTTTCTGATCTGCTCTGAGAACTAAGAATAAAAGATGGACAAGGATCACAATCATTGCACCCATTTTACAGGTTGGATAACCAGAACCAAAGACTAGGTAGGGCAACTTACCTGACTGGAGCACTGTCATGGATGGGTATAAAGTGTTCAGGAAGGAGAGGTGCAGAGAAAAGGTGGAAGATGTGTTCTGTATGTAAGAGAGCAGTATGATTGCTCCAAGTTCCAGTATGAAACTGGATAGAAAGCTGGCTAGATCATTGGGCTCAATGGACAGTGATTAACGGCTCGATGTCTAGTTGGCAGCCAGTATCAAGCAGAGTGCCTCAGGGTCAGTCCTGGGGCTGATTTTGTTCAACATCTTCATTACTGATCTAGAGGATGGGATGGATTGCACACTCAGCACATTTGTAGCTGTCACTGATTTGGGTGGAGAGATAGAATCATAGGACTGGAAGAGACAGAGTCCAATCCTCTGCCCAAAGCAGGAACAACCCCAACTAAATCATCCGAGCCAGGGCTTAAAAACCTCTAGGGATGGAGATTCTACCACCTCCCTAGGTAACTCCTTCCAGTGCTTCACCACTCTCCTAGTGTAATAATTTTTCCTATTATACAATCTAGAGCTCCCCCACTGCAACTTGAGACCATTGCTCCTCATTCTGCTACCTGTCACTACTGAGAACAGCCTCTCTCCTCCTTCCTTGGAGCCCCCTTTCAGGAAGTTGAAGGCTGCTATCAAATCCCCCCTCACTCTTCTCTTCTGCAGACTAAACAAACCAAAATCCCTCAGCCTCTCCTCATAGATCATGTGCTCCAGCCCCCTAATCATTTTTGTTGCCCTCCACTGGACCCCCTTCAATGCAACCACATCCTTTCTGTAGTGGGGGGCCCAGAACTGGATACAATACTCCAGATGTGGCCTCACCAGTGCCAAATAAAGGTAGATATACTGCAGGGTAGGGGTAGGGTCCAGAATGATCTAGACAAATTGGAAGATTGGGCCAAAAGAAATCTAATGAGGCTCAAGAAGGACAAGTGCAGAGTCCTGCACTTAGGATGGAAGAATCCCAGGCACTGCTATAGGCTGGGAACTGACAGGCTAAGTGGTAGTTCTGCAAAAAAGCACTTAGTGTTAACTCCTATCCAGCGTCTCACCTACTGTAATTGCAGTGTCCTTGTTGCCAAGAAGGCTAATGGCATATTGAGCTGCATTAGTAGGAGCATTGTTAGCAGACTGAGGAAAATGATTATCTCCATCTATTCAGCACTGGTGAGGCCACATCTGGAGTACTATATCCAGTTTTGGCTCCCCACTACAGAAAGGATGTGGGCAAATTGTACAGCAAAAGGTCAATGAAAATTATTGGGGAGTTGGGGTACATGACTTATGAGTAGAAGTTGAGGGAACTGGGCCTATTTAGTCTGCAGAAGAATGAGGGAGGATTCCAAAGAGGATAGAGCCAGGCTGTTCTCAGCTCAGTGTTGGCAGATGACAGAATGAGGAGCAATGACCTCAAGCTGCACAGTAGGAGGTCTAGGTTAGATATTAGGAAAAACTATTTCACTAGGAGGGTGATGAAGTACTGGAATGGGTTACTTAGGGAGGTGGTGGAATCTCCAACCTTAGAGGCTATGCTTGACAAAGCCCTCGCTGGAATGATTTAGTTGGGGTTGATCCTGCTTTGAGCTGGGGGTTGGACTAGAGGGCTTCCTGAGGTCTCTCCCAACCCTGATCTCCTATGATTCTAACCCGTGAAGCTTACACCACATGGTGAGTCAATGGTGAGGCTGGGAACAGAACCCTGTGGCGCCAGCTCCCAGTTTTACTTTTCATCTACTGGCCCATGCTGTTTCCCTAATACACTGAGCTAGAAGATGCAACCTGCCAGGACTTCGGGGAAGTCCCCCTCAGACGCACACATCTGAAAATTTCTCTTATACACTTAAGGATCCCCCTCCCTCTTCTGTACAACTGCCACCTACATCCTGTGGGAATAATAGAGGGAGGAAGGTACCTGATTTTCCACCAGCCCTCAAGGTTTTTCTGAATCACCTCTACCACAGCCCCTTTTTCTAGATTCATTTCATCCTCGTCTCTAGCGGTGTATGGGTAAATGACCGTGTACTTCTCCTCTGTGGAGCACAAAAACAGGATCATAAACGGGCCATTTTAGGAACACCAAAATTCATTAGAATTGGAACCACACTAACAGTGCACACACACACATGCACACACACACATTTAGGACAGAATTTTGTGTAAAGGCACATTTCCAAATGCCAATGGATTTGCTTTGAAATGTATACGCACACACCAGTTCACCAGGACACTGGGCAGGGCCAGAGAGTCCCAATCTGCATTCCATATAGCCAGACATGGACCAGGCAAAGTTGGTTCAACCCTGTTAACCATTTTCCCTCAGGGTTATGTCTTCTGTAATTTCTAAAGCTTCAATGATCTGCCCCACCCCTCACTGCCTTAAGTCCCTGTTATACTGCCACTATTCTTCTAGACAAGCAAGTTTCGACAAGACTCCTTTCAGAAACCCAGCTCTCTTGCTACTCCTTAAGGCTACGTCTATACTGCAAGCCTCTTGTGGAAGAGCAAATGCAAATGGAGCACTCGTATGTATATGCAGCACTTTCATTTGCATGTCCTCTTCCTTTCCCTTTTGCGCAAAAGGGGGTTTTTGTGCAAAAAGGCGTCGTCTACACAGCGCTTTTTAGCACAAAAGGGAAAGGAAGAGGACATGCAAGAGGCTTGCAGTATAGACGTAGCCTAAGTCCCCAGCCAATCTGGGGATTGTGCTTCAGGGTGTCCATTGCTGTAATCAAAATCTCTCCATCTCTCACGTCCACAAGGTCCTGGGCCAGTCTGACATACCATGACGCTGCGCCAGCCACAGTTCAGACAGGGGGTACCATGGAAGAATAATTAAACACACACACAGAACCAACTTCTCATGCAGAGATCTTAAATCCCTCTACAAAGGTAGGTCTGTCCGAACACAATCTTTACAGAGGAGGAACGTGGGCACAGAGCAGAAAAATGCCTTGGCCAACGTCACACAATGAGTGTGATTCCTAGACTGGTGCCCTATCCCCTGGATTGAATGACTATGGGCAATGATATGGAGGTCTTATTTCTAATGAGGAAGAAGAGGAAAGGACAAAACACGCTGCTAGCAATGCCCGCTTTGCAAACAATAAGCTGTTAGATTAACTAGCTGTCCCTTATTTCCTCATCTCCTTCACCCCTCCCCACACACACACACACTCGTCCCTGCTTTTGAGGGGCAACCCCCATGCGGGGCTTGCACTTACCAGTGTTGGACTAGGATGCAGGCCACCTGGAAAAAACCTCAAACCCCAGAGGTGCTGTGGCATCATTTTTCTCCCCTCTATAGTTTTTCCTACCTCTGCATCCTGGAACAGAATGGCCCGCTGGAGAGCTAGAAGCTCATTTTACATCAGACTTTCCACCCACTTTGCATGAGGAATCAAAACTAAGAAATATCCTGTCACATCCAGGAGCTCTGAGCTGAGCCCTCACCTCCTAACCTGCGCTGAAGTGCTAAGATCCAGATTCACAGCTCAGTGCACAAGCTCTGCACACATGATACCAGAGAGCAGAAACTCCAGCCTTCAGGCCCAGAACAGATAGGCCTCTACCCAGCGAGCTAAAGGAATAGCCAGCAGAGGGAATAATTACTGATGTGAGCAGATTTGAGACTACAGCCAGCAGAAAGCAGCAGTGCATAGACAGGCACAGCTGGAAGGCAGAGGGCTGACACAAGCAGAGTTCACCACATGCAAAGCATACAAATACCACAGGCTCCAGCACATGCAGACAGACACAGGCACAGCTCCAAGCAGAGAACAAAGGCAGCAGAAGAAGTCTCTACAGCATCCACCTCGACCCCATCCACTGGTATACAAGTCCCCAAGAGTCCGACGGCGGCCAACATGCCTGGGCAGAGACCAGTATCGCCAAGGAACTGGGAGGAGCACATCAGGGAAGCAGGAGAGGGACAAAAAAGGATGTAAGGAGACAGCATCAGACCTTATAGTTTTGCCTGTAGGCAGAAGACAGGGATGACACCATGGAGCTGTCAGACTGCACTCATCTGGGTTTCAGGTCCACGGTCCTCCCCACTCCACCATCTCCCCTGGTTGTGGGATAAATCTAACTACAGAGCTAAATTAAGCCCAGACTTGGCACTCCAAGAGATGTTCCCAGAGATGTCAGGATGTGTTGTATGAGAGACCTGGTATGGCACAGGGCACTTCTGAGTTATCTCAAATAAAGCCTGTATCCTTGTTATTCCAAGCACATGGGCCACTGCATTCTCCTTTCTCCTACCTGCCCCACACAACACTCTACTAAGGGGAAGGCCACAGCTCATGGGAAACAGGAGAGGCACAGGGCTCAGGCCCTGCTATTCTTACTAATAGCAAGTGCCCAGCTATGTAGATAAGGGGATCCAAATTGGGGCAGAGGCCAGTCATTCCAACCCATCAGCATTCAACTGCTCCACTAGCGGCACTAGAACAGCTGTCTGCAGTTCCCATCTTGACTCATGGCTGGAAGATGGGGAGATTAAGGCCATGCCTTGTTAAATGACCTCATTCAAGGTCACTTGTGGGTTTGTTGCCCTGGGTTCCAGCCTGCTAAATATAAAAGGTCTAAGCAGCCCAAGAAGATTCCTGCACCCTGGGCTAGGATGGGAGTTCATCTCTTCTCAAACTGGCTTCTTACCTTCTTCAGGCTGCATTGAGAATTCATCTTGGACACCATCCTGAGCTTCCAGGCATGTAGCCGGTACCCAGCCTTGCTCATCAGATGTGCTCACAAACCACCAGCCTGAAAACAAGCAACAGACCCGTTAGCTGGGGGCATCCATTTGATCATGCACCCACGATCACCACTTGACAACAGCTCTCTTCAGCTAGTCAGGAGTCTGCTCCACCGGGCTCCTTGCCTGGTCTGTAGGTCACAGACTGGAAAGAGGGTCTACACCAGGGTGAACCCACAGCAACGGAGCAGCACGGGTCCCCTTACAGGAATTTACAGTAAAGTGGCCAGGCTTTAAAAGACCACAGTCCCTCCCATGTGTCGTTAGCAGCAGCAAGGATTCTTACAATCTTTGGAACTGGCTTTAATTTACTTTTCTTCTTTACGCTGTTTGTTTTCTTTCTGCACTTCCCTTGGTTTATTATCCAAGGCTCCTCTAATTAACAGAGATGAATGAATTTGACTGCAAATAAAAAAAAAATACTGCAATGGCTCCTACCACTTCATGGAAACACCAATACGGAGGCGATGTGTCACCCAACAAAATTCATTCTGCACATGGATGTAAAAAATGTGAGAGAGAACACTGCTGGGGATCCTGCTCTCCTAGGGATGGGATGCATTCAAGCCCCCCCCTTTTTTTAAAGGCCACGTATTTGGGTCCACAGACACTTAGCCTCTCCCTACCTGATTCATTCTTCTCAATGATATCCACCATCTGACCCACACACAAGCTGATCTCAGAGCTCTCCTGCTTCTGGTAATCTGCCACCACCACATACTGCTCCAGGACCATAGGATCCACCGATGCCAAGTCACCGCCTAGGCGAGGGGAACAAAACACACTTTGTGCACCAAATCACCAGTGGCACAAGACAGCACATATCGCCCACCGGCTCCATGGCTGCTGCTGGCCTGCAAGAAGCCACAGGAGCAGGGCATCAATTGGACCCAGGCGTGAAAAGGGTGAATCAAACAGTCATAGCAAAGAGAAGAAAATAAGTGGCCAGGTGAGATCAGTGCAGTCAGGTGAGGTCTCTTAAACTGCTCACCACTTGCTGCCTGCACTCCAGAAGGGCCCAAGCATTCCCACCACCATAGATGCAAACAGTTGCCTAGTCTCCTCTAGTATGAACATCTTTGCTGGAAAAAGCAAGGGAGGCTTTAACTGGTGCATGGATTTGTGAGGGACTGGAGAAATGGGTCCAATGAGCTGAGAAACATCCTGAACCTCACAAATTTTTGGGAAGTTGGGCAAATCAGAAGAGAATAAAGTAACTTAAAAACCAGGCTGTTTTCTCACTGCTACTGCCTGTCCTGTCCAAAATATCCCAAGAGAGGCTCATCCGATGGGGCATCCTGTCCTGTTCTGCACACCTACAGGCCAAGTGACTAGTAATTCCAGCCAGGC